TATAGCCTAGTGATATTATAAAACTTATTCACTTTGTTTAAAGTAATAACGTCGAGTCTAAGGGGAAATACAAATGTGCTTTATTGACACTAGTCCGGGCAGAAATATAAATTTTGAAAGAATTGACTTGGTTAGAAAGTCCTATCTACCCTGAACTCGCGTTAGTCCCGCTGAAGGTGCTGAGATCTAGTTGATTTCAAAGCTGTAGTAAATCCTCGATGAAAGTACCTTTATGGAAGGAGGACTATGTAATATTAAATGAAATCACGAGGCCTACATATATCATCGAGGGAAAGTTAAACTACAAGTCCTTTATCATCTCAAATTAAAGTGGATGAATATATCTCTATACCCTGAACTCCATTTGCTAAGGGGTGTTTTAGTGAAACAATAGTTGCCGATTGACGGACTCGAGCCGTTTTGAATCAAGTAGGGGTCTGAAGATCATACCGAAGCAAGGTTGACACTATATACAATTCTATCTCGTTTAGGATGCAACATACATTAGGGACCATGTGAGATGCAATATTAAAATCAAGCAGAGGTATATGAACTTTCGACGATTTTTTATTTAAACCAGCATACGATAGAACAAAATGAATCTTAATATCTAAATATTCTGATAGCAACCATAGGTACTATTAATTAAGGGATGATGCAGTGAATTTTAAAGCAAAATCGGGTATCAATTTTGATGCATTTAGATTAAGATGGCTATCACCATTGATAAAAGGACACAAAAGTGGTGTATATTATCAATATATCATATTTCTGATAGCAGCGACTAGATTAGTACTAAAAGTTAACAACTTAAGGGGAAAAATTGGAATATAGTGCATACAAGTATTTGAAGTGATACTATAAAGTTTTGCGTATAATAAAAGCATGTCACCTTAGTAAATAGAGCCAATGGGAACTCCCATGCATTCGTTGGAAAGGGAGATATTGTATTTACAGAAAGAGGTAGCCTCGACAAGAAAGCACCTGGGTTTGGTAGCCCCAGTTGAGTTCGATAGTAGATGCTTGATGATAATAACGATTCTTTGGTTCGTGGAAGCAAAGAAGACGGAGAGGCTATACTTGTAGCGACATTATTGGTAGCGGTTATGTTGGACTGTACTCTAATGGGGAAATCAGGAATAGATAGATCCTTTTCCCTAGCCACTTCGGTCAGCATAACAGGCGGATCAGGTCCTTGAATAATGTCAGTGGAAACTCCTGTCGATTCAACGCTGGCAGAAGTGGTTGCTGACACTGTGAGAAAGGGGGGATAAATGGGAACAAAGAAGCGGCAAAACGCATATGAAGATCGAGAATAGATGTAGAAGGCTGCTCAAGGACAGTATAGCGGAATGCACTGTCAAATGAATGTGCGATCAAATCCTTGTAAAATATGACTGAGTGTAAAAGATATAAAATTGAAGAAAATCCTATACTTTTTCTCATACTTGCAGCCTTTAAATATACGTAAAATGTAGAAGTTTTCTGTCGCTTCAAAATATTGTTTAAAGTTTTACTAAACGTTAAATCAAAGTGAATAAGTATTGCTTGAATACTGATTTTTATAGTAGTCTTAGAGTCAATGTTGTGCCTTCTAAATACAATCTGATAAATTTGCTATTTTCAAGTTGATTTTTAGTACTATCCAAGACAATTAAAATTAATATGAGATGTATTCATCTTATTTAGTTTAAGGTAATGAAGAACTGGTAGTAGAATTTTACCACGATGATATGAGTAGAGCTGACGTTTCCATTAAATTTCACATAGCCTTACTAGTCAAAAGCTCTACTCATATCATTGTGGGAAAATTCTACTACCAGTCCTTCAACACCTCAAACGAAATAGGGTGAATATATATCATATTACTGATTTACTGATAGTCCCGAAACTCTACTTAAATACAAAAAATAAGTAACGTAGTCGATTGTTATAGCAAATATACGTTTGCTTCATCGACAATC